ACCAGGTGATGCCACAACCACCAGTGATTTGAGGGGAAAAAATTAGCTTTTGGGTGTCCTTTTTGTTCACCTCTTGTCTGTGGTGAAGCGGGAGGGAGATATCACATATCACCTGTGGGAATGCCAGAGGCACCGGTGGCTCCTTGGCTGTCCCTCGCTCGGGGTTCTGCTCTGGGTTCCCGAGGAGTGAAGCCTTTGGGGAAGGGGCTGCTTTGTCTGTCCCATGGGAACCTGCCCTCGAGCCCCAGCCCGCTCTGGCCCGGCAGGTTGGCATTTTCCGAAAGTCAGGGGTGAAGTCCCGGATTCAGGCGCTCCGGCACATGAACGAAACCAGCCCTGACAACGTCAACTACGATGGACAGTCGGCGTACGATGTGGCTGACCTGCTGAAGCAATATTTCCGCGACCTGCCGGAGCCCATCTTCACCAGCAAGCTGACAGACACCTTCCTGCAGATCTACCAGTGTGAGTACTGGACTGAGGCTGGTCACCTCTGGACTTGGGAATGAAAATCGGGCTTTTCTAGGGAGGAGGCATCTCTCCGTTCATTTGGACAGGGGTGATGGAGATGGGTGGTGGCCAGAGGGGATGGACCCTCTGACCACCTGCTTCACCCCGTGCAGTCGTGTCGAAGGAGCAGCGGCTGCAGGCGGTGCAGGCGGCCGTTATCCTCATGCCAGACGAGAACCGGGAGGTGCTGCAGACCCTGCTCTACTTCCTGAGCGACATCGCCTCTGCTGAGGAGAACCAGATGACCGCTGGGAACCTGGCCGTGTGCCTGGCCCCCTCCATCTTCCACCTCAACGTGTCCAAGAAGGAAAGCACCTCACCGAGGTAAGGGTTGGGCTAGCTCTGCAGCCTCAATCTCCCATCACCCCTCCCCTGCCCATTCCTGGTGGGGATGCTCGTGCTGGCTGGTGCTGTCACACAGCTCCCCCGTTGCTCTGCAAAGTGGGGGTCCCGTGCTCTGTGACGCAGAGCAGTGAGGAGCCAGAGGTGGCCTGCTCTCCCACAGGGCAATGCACAAGAGGGGCACCATGGGGAAGCCTGACCAGAAGGACCTCAGTGAGAACATGGCTGCGACGCAGGGGCTCTCCCACATGATCACCGACTGCAAGAAACTATTCCAGGTGGGTGGCTCTGGCATGTCCAGCCCAGTGTCGCCCTCCCCAGGTGCTGCAGCAGGGTGCTGGTCCTGTGGAGTCAGTGTGGGGCAAGATAAGGGCATTCTTCCTTCAGTGGGGTAGCTGCCTCGTGGGGTGGGATCATCTCGTGGTGGGATCATCCCTCCTTGGTGGGATGGAGGAGTTACGGTTTCCTAGCTGCCCAGGACCACACACAAAGTCCATGTAGGATCCCTCTGGCTTTCTGAAGATCTGTATGCTCTTGGCTTGTAGGTATCCCATGACATCTTGCTGCAGCTGAGCAGCTCCTACATGACAGCAGATGCTTACCCCCATCCCCTGACTGACTTTGTGTGTCAGGGGGAAAGCAAGGATTTACACCTCTACTTCGAGCAGAGTGTCCAGAACCTGCTCAAAGAGTCGTCCGAGAAATTCAAGGGGTGGCTGAGTACACCAGGGCCCCTGAACACAGAGCTCTCCTGCAAAAAGGTAAAAGCCACCGTGTGGAGGGGTGCTTGGTGTCACACGGGGAAATGTGCATGGGCTGAACACTGGGAGCCACAGGTCCTGCAGGCACCAGTTGACAACCCCCGGGTGCTTGTTCTGTTATGTGAGGAGAGGTCAGCAAGCCCTTCCCTGGCCAGAGGCGGGTGT